CTAAATATTGCTGATCATTCTGTTTATTGGCCTTTTTTATTTTTAACCAGTATATAAAGTGTACATATTTGTGGAGTACTACCATGTGGTATTTTGATACTGTATACATCCTGTGTTGTTCAGTATAGGATAAATATCTATTTCCCCAAACACGTATCATTGCTGTATGCTAAAAACATTCAAAATCCTGTGTTTTATTGATCAGCTTTATTTATTTGACAGAGTTAGAATGAGAGAAAATATCTTCCATTTATTAATTCACTCCCCAAATGGCTGCAACAGTTAGGGCTGGGCCAGGCCAAAGCCTGGAGCCGAGAAGTCCGTGTAGCTCTGCTGTGTGAATCCCAGGAGCCAGTGTGCTGGGGATCTGCTGCTGCCTTTGCAGGCACATTAGCAGGAAGTCAGATTGGGAGCGGAGCAGCTGCACGCAATCCGGTACTCATGTGAAAGCTAGCTTCAAAGATGGTGGCATAATGCACTGTGTCACAAAACCATATAATAGGTCATGTTTTCATGATCAGTAGTCCCCTCCTAAGCAATAGAACAGCAGAACTTGTCACTGCTATCCAACACCTAGCATTCAGAAGTTCTCCTCGCCCTCTCTCCTAACTTCACAGGCCCATGTCACCACCATTGTACTTTCAACATTATGAGATCAGCTTATGTAGATTCGACATGAGATTGTGTGGTACTTGCCTCTCCGTGCCTTTCTTTATTTCACTTTGACATAATGACTTTCTGTTCCATGTTGCTAGCAAATGGCAAGAGGTCACCCCTTTCTCCCTGCAGGGTAGTATTCCATTGTGTGTTTGGTCTGCTTTATCCATTTGTTAGTGGGCGGACCTTTGGGTTGTTTGTCTTTTCTATTGTGAATAGTGTTGCCTTAAACATAGAAGCACAGGAATCTCTCTCTTCATCAGATAGATTTTGTTTCTTTTGCTGTTTACTGGTCTTTTGATTAACAAACTTAATCAAGACTTAATGGCAGAATTTCAGAGCCATGCAGTTATTACGAGTCTGTTCTGACAAGGCCACCTAATCTTGCTTGCCTACTGCTCTCAGTGGCTTCTCTCGTGCTGTCCCTGGGATTTAAGTTTTCCTCTCTACAAAGAGACAGTTTCTTAGGTGTCTAATGTGACAATCTAATTTACTTGAGTTACTTAAGTTTGTGGTATTCAAGTTAGAAGGTTTTTTTTAACTGTTTTCATTTTCACAATTACCAAAAAATATTTTATCAAGTACAAGGCAAAATGTCTTTTGCCTTTACAACTGAAAACTTTTTATGATAGAATCAAAGTTAAATTTCTGTGGTTCCCTGAGGATCCGCGTTTCTGGGGTTCCTGACTAGTTTTTTTTTCTCAGCCACTCAGTACATTAGTCAGATCTGAGGAACCAGAGTCCAGTAGTGGTCCCTGAAGGTTCTATGTCCTCTTTCTGGTGAGCTGTAGTCATGGGCCTCCTGGCTAACGGTTTCACAAGGCCTGAGCAGGCTTAGGTCTCACCGCTGTTGTGCGCTGCAGCCTACTAGGAAAATCGCGTGGAGTGTGAGAATCCCAGCAGGGCATTTTTGAAAATACACTAGCAGAGGGAGTGGACTTCCAAGCACTGCTGCTGACTGACGAGACCTTGACCAAATTGAAAGGCTGAGTTAGCACATCCAGATCAAGCCAGAATCACCCTTGAAAGTGATACCAGCTCACACTGAAGGTGATACCAGCTCACACTGAAGGTGATACCAGCTCACCCTTGAAGATGATGCCAGCTCACCCTTGAAGATGATGCCAGCTCACCCTTGAAGATGATGCCAGCTCACCCTGAAGGTGATACCAGCTCACCCTTGAAGATGATGCCAGCTCACCCTGAAGGTGATACCAGCTCACCCTTGAAGATGATGCCAGCTCACCCTTGAAGATGATACCAGCTCACCCTTGAAGATGATACCAGCTCACACTGAAGATGATACCAACTCACCCTTGAAGATGATACCAGCTCACCCTTGAAGATGATACCAGCTCACCCTGAAGGTGATACCAGCTCACCCTTGAAGATGATACCAGCTCACCTTTGAAGATGATACCAGCTCACCCTTGAAGGTGATATCAGCTCACACTGAAGGTGATACCAGCTCACCCTGAAGGTGATACCAACTCACCCTTGAAGATGATGCCAGCTCACACTGAAGATGATGCCAGCTCACACTGAAGATGATGCCAGCTCACCCTGAAGGTGATATCAGCTCACCCTGAAGGTGATACCAGCTCACACTGAAGGTGTGCTCTAAACAGGGAGCTGGACTGAGGGCAGAGCCAGGACTTGAACCCACGCACTTCAGTGTGGGCTGGCAGCTCCAGGGGCACATTTGAGTCTGATACATGGAAACAGTTGATCAAAGGTAAATAGGAATATTTATAGAGTAAGTTGTATCATGGTGACACAGTAGTAGCGGTTTTCTCTCTTATTTATTTGAGAAGCAGAGAGAGCAAGGTGTACATGCTCACATCTGCCGAATCACTCCAAGTGCTGGTAACAGCTGCACTAGACCAGGCCAGCAGCGAGAACTGGGAACTCAGTCTGCTTCTCCTGCTTGATGGCAGCAACCCAGTTACCAAGGCCACCACCTGTTGCTTCCCAGGGTGCTTCAAGCAGGAAGCTGGACTGAGGGCAGAGCCAGGACTCAAAGCCAGTGTGGGCTGGCAGTGTCCCAAGCAACAGTTAACCCTAGGATTTTCATCTGATCTTACCTACTTAAGATTACAAATAAACATAGAACTCCACTCAAACGTGGTATGGATGAAAGCATAGATCAGGACAGTTGCATTCTAGGTAGGTTAAGGAAGTAAGCCCGTGACATATAAAGAGAAGATGGGGCTTGGGACATCCACACTTACTCAGCACATTTTCGAGTTGTTCACACGTCACACCAGGAGGGATTTGAAGTGGACGCCCCTGAGAAGAAACCTGAGGCTACACAAGTGGCTGCTCGGAGCCAGCACTGCTTGCTGTCTGGCCCACCTCCCCCAGACCGGAGGCCTAAGGGCAGCTGCTGCGCCTCATCTGTCACACATAAATACGCAAGTGGGGAAGAAACTGCACCTGCGGCTTTATCAGTGATATTTATACTTACCATTCATACAACTTTGTACGTTGCAATTGTTTCTGGAAGCAAGCTTGAAGCTGACACAAGTATAAACTTAAAGTCAGTTCCATAATTGGAAAAGGAGCAGCAGCATCCTCAAAAATCAAAATTAGAGACAGGAATTCAGGTCCAGAGTCCCTTGTATGAAATGCAGATTTTCCAGATCTTGGAACATTTGCATAAACATAATGAGGTATCTGGGGAACTGGACATGAGTGTATACATGGGATCCATTAAAATAATGTTATACACTATTTTAAACAACATTTTGTATGAATCAGTATCATGGTGTGGAATTTTCCACTCATTGTATGGAGAATTGTGGGTTTTCAGGCTAGAGACATTCAACCTATATTTATGACCATAGTTCTAACTGAATACTAGTTACTCCTTTGCAGTTACTCAGGAAGAAAATAAGCAATAGATATTATAAGCCCTAAAAAGAAGAAACAAACTTGTATTTTAAAGATTATTCTTCAGTGTTAAATGCAGTGAAACAGGCGTAAAAGATACAATAATGATGAAATGCACAATAAAGTTCTAGAAAACTCTAGGTTGTGCTGTCAGAGTCAGTGTATGACAGTAGCTAACAGTGTAATCATGGAAAAGATAAAGAATTCGAAGTTCAAGTTCATGTCCCAAATGGAAATTTCATCCACCTGCTTCTGTGCGTAGCGCACTGACCATGACCTTGTCACCTGCCCAGGCCCTCCTGGCCCAAACATGGAGGTCACCTCAGTTCTGCTCTATGCTAGTTTGCATGTAATATTGAGAACTCTAGAAACTGTAGATAGCATTTTCTAACATGGGAAAAGAGACCATGGGTCTCTTGGGAAGGTTTGGGCAGCCTTCAAGTGGGTCCTTCATGCACAGACGAGCCACCTGCGAGGCCCCAGGAGGCCCAGGTGGGTGCTGTTCTCAGTTCATCTCAGGCCTACAGCCTGTGTCTACATGGCAGGTTAGTTATTTCATAAAATTCGATTTGGAAGCTTGTATCAACAATTATCTCTCTTTTTTTTTTTTTTTTTAGATTTATTTTTATTTGAAAGTCAAATTTACAGAGAGATTTTCCATCTGCTGGTTCATTCCCCGAATGGCCACAGTAGCCACAGCTGAGCCAATTTGAAGCCAGGAGCATCCTCTGGGTCTCCCACATGGGTGCAGGGGTCCAAGAACCCTAGCCATTCTCTGCTGCCCTCCTAGGCCAAAAGCAGAGAGCTAGATTGGAAATGGAGCAATCAGCATAACCAGCCTCAGACAACAAGTTGTCTTAAAAGGAAAACAGAGACCAGTGTGTCATGTGACAGGTTAAGCTACCACCTGCAGTGCCGGCATCCCAGATGAGCATGGGTTTGAGTCCAGGTTGCTCCATTCCTCATCCAGCTCCTGGTAAGTCAAGTAGGAAAGCAGTGGAATATGGCCCAAGTGCTTGCGACCCTGCTGAGACTCTTGGCTCCTGGCTTTGAACAACCTTAGTGTTGGCTGTTGCAGCCATATAGGGAGTGAGCCCTTAGATGGGAGATTGATTGCTTTCTCTTCTCTTTCTGTAGATCAGCCTTTCAAATAAATAAAACAAATGTAAAATCTAACAAAATGCTCTCAATTAGTTGCCTTATTAGTATAATCAGGACCTCTGATAGTAATCGGCCTTTAAATAAAATATGAATACAATAATGGGAAACTAAAGACATCTTTAAGACAGATACTGCTGTCTGGGATAGCTTTACTTGCATTTGAAATTACCACGTAGTTCTGAAATCATTTTGCACTCTTTGTAGGGAAACATACTTCTGATGTTTCAGATTTAAGATCAGGTCCCAGCGGGCACCGGGGCTTCGTGCCACGTGCCGTGTGTGCCAGTCATTCACACGTAGTCCTTCAGGTGGTAGGCCGACCTGCCCTCAGGCTGCGTGGCCAGGATGTGCTGCTGCTCGTGTGCGGAGAGCCAGGCTTCCGGCTTTCTTCCTATGCAGGAAGTGCAGAAGATAATGCCAGAACTAAACAGCAGCATTGCTGAAATGAATCCTATATAGAGCGCTCCTCCTGGTTCGTATTTGTTACTCTCCGGAATCGTGAGGTCCAGAAAATTTGCAACGATCTCCTTCGTGTACCACACTGTTGGTACGAAGCTAGCGAACCCTGCACACAGGAAAAACACTCCTGCGGCAAAGGAAGCCTGCCGCTTGGTCTGCCTGTCCCCTCCCAGGCGGGTGCACTTCATTCCCACTACGGAGGTGCAGAGCCCCAGGGCAGAGAGGATGCAGGCCAGCACCATGGCGGCCCTGGCAGCCTGCACATGCGTTGGCAGGGCCAGGATGGAGTACTTCAGGGTGCAGCTGAACATGCCTGTGCTGTACCACGTGCAGTCCATCCACAGACCATGCAGCCTGACCATGGCTGTGAGGATGTTGGAGCCCATGTCCACGTTCACCTTCCAGTTAGGCAGCAGAGTGGCCGTGAGCCCTCCGGAAGCCCCAGACAAGGCCAAGGTGAAGGCCAGCAGCTGGAGCCCCTCTGAGGCCATGGTGTCGCTGATGCCTCCGTCCGTCCTCCTAGGAAGCTGGTGCTTAGGCCTGAAGGTGAGGGCTAGGCAGAGAAGACAAACAAGGATGGGAGGGGAAGGCAGGCAGACCCGGGAACACCTCCTCATAGGAAACACCACCCACCCTGTGCCAGCCTGTGAGCCAGACAGAATGCCCAAGAAGCCAACTAGTGGTGGACGTTGATGTCACTGGTTAATTGTATCTTCTCATCACACCCAGCCGCAAGCTCCTGCCCTCAGCCAGAACCCGGGCCATGGAAGGCACCACCTTCTAGATCCTTCTAGTTCAGACCAGAGCCGTTCCTGGCAAATGTCCTGCAAACACAGCTCTTCTGAATGATTCCCAGGTCGAATCAGCAAACCTCGAAACATGCAAAGGTGGCTGCCCTTCCGGGGTGCCCACAGAAGGAGGTGGCTGCCCTCGCCCTGTAGGGGACAACGTGGCTCTTCTTTCAAGAGAAGGGAGGGAATCGCACCTACTTTGTAGCTTAGCTGTGTTCTTAGATTCAAAAAGCTTCTTACCCCAGTATCTAACCCATTCTGTCTCACAGTATTTACTGCCTTTTTTGAGGAAAAGGGTTTCTGAAATGCTGTAATACTGGTGTTTTTTTGTGTTTCTGAAGTAATTCTGAATTTGTGTTATTAATCTGTTGTAATTCAGAAATGTTATGCAGGGTGCAGCATGAGTTCTTGAATCCAGACACCTGGGTCTGTTCTGGCCTCTTCTGACCTCCTGTGCCTGCCTTAGCATCCTGTCTCAGCATTGTGATCTGCAGCAGGTGCACGCCAGGGTCCAGGAAGGTGCTCCAGGTAGTACCGAGTCATTTGAAGCTGACTTCGGTAGTTAAGGTGTTTTTTTTGCTTGTTTTGTTTTTGGTTTTGCCTTTTTTAAAGTCATACAGCAATTAATTTCAGATGATTGAATCTTTCTTAAATTGCTTGAATTTGATTTCTAGTGTCATAGAGTTGCAGTCTTTAGCGTACTTATTATTCCTGACTCAGTTGCTCAGATACGACATGTGTGCCACCCAGTCTCAGTTGCTGGTCTGCCACAGTCAGCCCTCCTCCGTCCTCCTCCACCTCATCCCACATCCCACATCCTGTCTCGCCGGGCAACTTCCTGCCACAGCCCTCTCTGGTATTTCCATGGAACGTGGAAGTGCAGCGAGTGTAGACAGAGGCAGCACAGGGATCTGCTGGGCCCACCTCCTTCCCTCCGGGAAGAGGACCCCGGGTCACCAGCAGGGCACTCGCTCAGCCGCAGGGGACTGCCTGGGAAGCTTGCTGCTCGGCTTGTGTTGCGTTTTTGAAGTGTGTGTGAGACGTCCTGGTAGCCCTAGTGCTGACAGAAACAGGCTCCCTGGCGCATCGGCGTGAGGGCTCTGGATGGAGGGCTCTGTTTCTAAAACGAATATAAACCCTGTCGTTTTAGAGAAGCAATTCTCTGGGATCTTAAGTTATTAAGAGGAAGACCTATTTGTAAACATCAGTGTGTGAGGTTTTACCCACTATCAGTTTGTTTGTTTTTGTATCTGAGATCAAAGCCAAGCAAAAGTTAAAGCTTCTAGAAGAAAAACTTACGCAGGTATTTAGAGTTCTCTTCTGTTTAAGTTTGGGTTTTACGGCTTTCTGCCGCGGAGCACGGTCCTTGTGCTCCCATCCCAGGTGCGCCTGGGCAGGTCCCGCCCCAGTCCTCTCTCCCCTTCAGCTCTCCCACTCCTCCCTTCCTTCCCGCCTTAGCCTTCCTCCCTACCTGCCTTGCTTTCTTCCTCGGCTGAATATTCCTCGTATGTCGATTGGTCAGTGCTCGGCTTACATTTAAAGCCTCCTCCTTCCCAGCAGCCAGTACTCTATGAATTTCCGTGTGAATCAGACCTGCGGACGGCTTGCTCATCGCAGCTAACTAGTGCTGGCCATGATCAATTACAGCAGCGTGAGCGAAGGCAAGGTGGCGGTGCTTTCAGTTAGCATGGCACTTGTTAAAGGTTGGCCTTCCTGTGCTTGCTTCTGCATGAGAACTTTCCTGAAAGAATATTCTTTTTACACATTTATTCTGCCTTTTGACTGTATTGCTATGAGATGTTTGCTTCCTCTCCAGCCACAAGCATGCAGTTTGTGGCCTGTTCTCCGATTCTCATGGAGAATAAAGACGTACTTTGTGGCAGCGGTGGTGGCAGCCGTGGGGTGGCAGCGAAATGCCAGACCAGGATCAGGAGAGCTGTGTTCCTCAGAGGAAACCCTCCCGCCCCTGAAACAGTAGACGCACGAGCCCAGCCTCCGACGTGCATGGGGTAAACTGCCCACAGCAAAGCCACTGTAGATCTCATTAAAAATGGAATAGCAGTTTTCTGTCTATGTCAAAAATTAATACTTAAAAACACACTTACGATTAGTACTGCAAATACCTGACAGTCTCACGGAGGTGTCAGCTCTCACAGACGCGGCTCGTTTCCCAGACCTTTTTGCCGGCCGCTTCCCCGCTGACTTCCTTTCTGTGTTGTCTTCCAGTTCTCCGCGTCAGACAGGGGGGAGCGAAAGCATGCCCGTGGCGCTCATTCCTGAGGTCCTGAGGCTTTTTGTAAAGCTCCCACGAGTTAACTTGAAAAGCACAGAGACAGAGCAGCATAGAAATCCAAGGGGCAAAAGCTGCTGATGGAGCCAGAAGATAAGTACCAGGTTCTCCCTCTCATTTTTGGAGCTGTAGGAGAATTAAGCCAGGAGAGGCGGAGAGCGGAGGGAGCTGTTGCAAAGGAATTGTCCAAACCTGAAGGCTGCGAGTGCTTTGTGCGGCTGGGTCTGGAGGAGGGATTATTTGGGTGCTCACAGAAAGGCTTTTTATTTATTTATTTTTTAATATTATGCTACAGTCACACAGTTATAATTTTATCTTTAGATTTCTATCTGTGTTGGAAGATACATCTTATTATTTTATGTTCTCAATTAAAGACTATGGTCTGAAATATTTTTAACTAGATTGTATTTTGCAAATGATGAGCAACAAGCTTTTTGTTCTGGTGCTTATTGTCCAGAACCAAGCCTTTGAAATTGTTAACCTTGAAAAGACTATTTAGGAAGACACTGATTTAATAAAAGGGTTGTTCTGTTTTGTTTCGTTTTGTTTTTTGGTTTTGTTTTGTTTTTTTTTTTTTTTTTTGTAAAGATTTATTTTTATTATTTTTTCATTGGAAAGGCGGATATACAGAGAGGAGAGACAGAGAGGAAGATCTTCCGTCCGATGATTCACTCCCCAAGTGAGCGCAACGGGCCGATACTATGCCGATCCGAAGCCAGGAGCCTCTTCTGGGTCTCCCACGCGGGTGCAGGTTCCCAAAGCTTTGGGCCGTCCTCGACTGCTTTCCCAGGCCACAAGCAGGGAGCTGGAAGGGAAGCGGGGCTGCCGGGATTAGAACCGGCGCCCATATGGGATCCCGGGGGTGCAAGGCGAGGACCTTTAACCACTTGCGCCACCGCGCCGGGCCCTTGTTTTGTTTTTTTTGTTTTTGTTTTTTTATTTTCCAGTAAAACCCAGTAACAGATTTTGGCCAAAATCCGATCCATAAAAACAATAAACTTGGAAGGTTGTGTGTGTGTGTGTGTGTGTGTGTGTGTGTGTGTGTGTCGTTGTATGGTATCCTGAATTTTTTTCCCTGTTCATTATTTCACTGACTAAAGAAAACTGCTGGGGTGTTATTATGTAAATTAAAGATTTCAGAAATGGGATGAAGAAATTACACCAGAATGATGTGTTAAAGCATGTCAGCTAAAACTGTGACCAAACGCTGAGACTACACGGATAACACAGGCAGACTACACCACCACCATCCCTTCAGCTTCTCGTTTCTTCGTGGGCAGTTTTAATACATCATAGCCAGGACACAAGACGGAGGAGTTCATGAGCTGGAGCTTTAGATCATGCTGTTGGTGAGCGTGTTGGAAAAGTCAGGTGTCAGGCGTGAGTCTTGGACCGCATTTCAGTTGTAGAGCTTTCTCTAGATTTGATTGTTTGCATCTTTGGTGTTTAGCCAGAGACGGTTTTCCTCCTCGAGACAGAGCTGTGGTTTTCATCGACAGGCCTTGTTCCTCTGTTTCATAGACATGTCCATGTCACTGTCTGGACGTGCAGGTGCTGGTGGTGTTGGTACTCATTGTCAGGGCTGCTGCAGTGGGCGATGCCCGCCCCGGTGCCTGCGGTGTGCAGGCTGACCCGTGCCGAGGCTGGCCTGGGGAAGGTGCAGGGCCCCACCTGCTCCCAGCCCTGAGCTGCAGCATGCCGACACCCACTGGAGGACAAGGCAGGTGAAAATACCTTTGTGTACATTTCCATCCTTGAAACACATTTGGCTTTTCCATCTTGAGGAGAGCAGTTGTCCTGTGAAACTGGAACTATCTGTGTTAGAAGGGAAAACTTCTGAAATTGAAGGGAGTTTCACTAATATGGACCCTTAACGAAGACACAGTGTCTTCTGTGGAAGTCAGCTTGTATCCAGAAATGCAGTTCATCCATTTTATCTTACTCTGATGTGGACATTAAAGGGAAGTAATTTTCAGGTCCAGACTTCTGGATAAATCTGAAGACACCTTAGCTAAGTTGGGCCTCTCCCTGGACGCCTTAGCTAAGCTGGCCTTCTCTCCTGGACTCCCGAGTGGTATTTTTGCCTGCTGACATGGCCTCACTGCTGGACACCCCACTCCCAAGCTGGTGGTGAATGCCTGACGGTATGTGGTAACGGCCAGCCCTCCCTCCCACATGGCAGGCTGCAGGTCTTATGTGCTACCTGGCATCCAGTCAGCTATCGTTTTGTTTCTGACTTGAGACTAGTTCCAACAGCCCTACTGAGCTGCTCTCCTCCAGCACTGTGACCCGGGACGCCTGGAGGTGAGCCCCATCAGGGGCTCCAGAGCGCAGAAGGATCCAGTGAGGAGCTGAGTCACTGAACTCCGAAACTGGTTTTGGCGTGCAAAATAATGCTAACTGCATTGTAAATTACCCTTGAATGACTGAAAAAGAAGTTTGCCTTTGCTTGTGTTGTACTGGAATTTTTAAATAATTTTACAACTAAACTCCTTAGTTTTGTCAGCTAATAGCTTTTTACCAAAGCTCCCATGATGCTAGGTATTTAATTCTCAGATAAGTAAACTCTAGAGAAGTAACCTCTAGATGAAGGTTGTAAAATGAGTGAGTTTTGTCAGCAGTGGAATCGAGGCCTTCCACGCTGCATAGAAGTGCCCCACCTCCAGAGGACGAGGTGTCACTGTAAGGGATCCGGACCAGAGCCAGGAGCCAGCAACCCAAGTATGGGCAGGACCCAAACACCTGAGCCATCGGCTGCCTCCTCCCAGCATGAGGTAGCAGGAAGCTGGAGAAGCCGAGGTGTGGTGTAACCCACTGTCCCACAGTACCCACCCCAGCGGACAATAGATGGAAACGTAAGGACACTGGTTGGTGTGGGCAGTCTGGGACTGACCAATCAGCTGCTCTGGGGTCCTGGCTGCGAGGGCCCCGAGCTCCAGCATCACACCCAAGTTCTGGGTGAAGGAAGAGGGAACAGTGTGACCCAGGGTCAGCCGTGGATGCACTGCCTGCTCCTTCCGGCTCAGTCCTCCCTCAGCCTGAGCCCCCAGGTCTCATTCCCAGACAGGGCTCCTCTGACAGCAGGCAGGGCTGTGGCGAGCTGCACCCGCAGGCCCCAGCCCTGTGGCTCCGATCTAAGTAGTCTGGGTTGGTGCCCAGTTGTATTTTTAAATTCTGCCCAGTGTATTGTAATGAAAAGTTGGGGTTCTGAGTTTTAAAAACACCACCACAGTTTTTTCTTCTTTGCTTTCTCTTCAAATCATGATAGTTAAAAGGAAGACAAAATAGTTACCTGTTTCACTCCCACACATTTAAAGTGGTTTGAATGAATCTCTTCTCTAATTAATACAAAGAGACCCCCCGCATGTCGTGGGCATGGTGCCAAACCCAGCACACTCTGTCCCTCTCCAACGCTCACCCTTGGCCATGGGCCCCCTCTCTCCTTTCATCATTTTTACAAGGACAATTTTAATCCACTCTTTTCGCAGACTTAATTCACCACTAGCCATAATATTCAAATAGAAAGCAGGAAGACCACTGTTCTATGGAAGTATAAACAAGCAATAAAGGCAACAGTCATACCCCAGAATGTCCATCTCATTCTTACACTTTTTCTGTATTCTATGTTTACATGTTTTTAAATATTTTTGAAAGGCACAGCTACAAAGAGAGGGGGAGAGGCAGAGGTCTTCACCCACTGGTTCACTTTCCAAACGGCTGCAGCAGCCAGAGTTAGTCCAAAGCTGGGGGCCAGGAGCTCCCTCCGTCATTCCCTGGGGTGCAGAGGCCGGGCCTTGGGCCATCCCCCCGTTTGTCGGTTGGTTGGATCAGTAGTATATCAATTTTAATCTTTTTTTTATTTCAAAAACCCAGCACTTCATTTCACTAATCTCTTATATTTTGTTTTCATTTTTGTTTATTCTGCTTCCTGGTACTATTTGGGGGTTATTTTGATCTTGGTTTTTTTAAGTTTCTGAGATGCATTGTTAGATTATTTTTCTTGAAGTAAACTTCCCTGTGCACACTGCATTCGCTGTGTCCTGTAGCTTTGGTGGTGTGTTGTGTTGGATTCATTTGTTTCTAGGAATTTTCTGGCTTCCCTTTTTGCTTTCTGCTGTGATTCACTGTTCATTCAGAAGCTCATTGTTCAGTCTTCATGTCAATGAATATTTGTCTTAAGTTGTTAATTTCCAGCTTCATTCCATTGTGGTCAGAAAGGATACAGGATGTGATTTCACAATGAGCTTGTTGAGACTTGCTTTACAGCCTGTTGTGTGGTCGACCCTAGAGAAAATCCCGTACATTGAGGAAACGGTGTGTGGAGTGCAGCTCAGGGGGGGGTCACGGTGCAGATGAGCTCTGGTGGTTTTGTCTCGTTGGTCTGTCCTTTGGTGAAGCTGGGGTGTTGGAGCCCCTTGTTAGGGCTGTATTGTAACATGTCACCTTAAAAATGCTTTGATATTTGTGATCACATCTTCCTAATGAAGTAATCCTTTAATCATTAAACAGTGCCCTTCTTTGCCTCTCTTTAAAAATATATGTTTATTTTTATTTGAAAGGCAGAGTTATAGAGAAAAGAGGGAGATAGCTGGGCCAGTCTAAAGCAAGGGTTCAGGGTGTAGAGCGCATGCACACAGGGGAGGAAGCCTGGGGCTTGCTGGCACTGCGCTCCCTGGCCCAGCCTGTGATCGCTGAGGCTGCCGAGTCGAGTCACATCACAGAACAATCTCTCTCTGCCGTGAAGGTGGACGTGGGCGTGGTGCGTTTCATCCCCTTGGTGCAGCCCAAGATTGAGCAGCCGTTCCAGCTGGTGGAGAAGGTCGTGCAGCACGTGTTCCAGTTCCGGAGGAAGTACTGCCATCGCGGGCTCGGGTGAGAATGCCTTCTCTTCCTCCTGTGGCTGGCATGAAAAGCCCAGGCACGTCTTCAGTGTTTATCTGGAAGGCGCGCTGCTTCTCTCCCAAGACGCCCATAGTGGCCAGGGCCAGACCGAGCCGATCCCTGGAGCCAGGGGTCCCTCGGGGGTGGGAGGGACCCAGCTGCTTTGAGTCTGAGCCAGGGCTTAAATCCACAGTGAGCACCCTAAGCACTAGGCCCATCACCCTCCCCTCCCCCGCGATCATTGTTAGAGAAGACGGACTTGGGTCTCCCTGCCTGTCTGCTCCAGGTCTGGCTCCTGGCTCCAGACTGGCCACGGAGCAGACCAGCAGCCAGAAGATGTCTGTAATTTTGCTTTCAAATTTAAGAAAAAAATTTTTAAGGTACAAGAATGAAACTTTAAAAACTAAAAAAATATTTACATATGTTTGCAGCCTGCTTGAGAAAGCTGATTTTTTTTTTTAATTCCACCAATATTTAGCTCCTTATAGGAGCTCAGCTTCACAATTTCTCAGTTCTGGTCAGGTAGAGTACAGGTGGCAGCCATCCTAGGTGCCAGCGTCTCTGGCAGGGGCTTTACCCGCTACACCAGCCAGAAGGGCATGAGATCCCGTCAGGTGCCAGAAGGCAGCCTCATCCCGAAGAGGTTCCCCTCACCATGCCTTTCATTGACTAGAGACGTGTGGCTCCTAGAACACGACACGACACTTCTGCTTCCTGGCGGATGGGGGCAGTCATGAAAGGGATGGCAGCTTTGGGAATCCTGGACTTGGTCTGAGCCTGGAGCTGCCATCCTGTTTCCAAGCTCCCAGCTCGGGGCCAGCTCCCTTTACGTCACACAGCATCCTCCTGCAGAGGCAGACCCGTGACCCACTTTGGCCTGACAGTGTACCTCAGTCACGCTCCCCGGGTGTCTGTCCTGGCAGCTAGCAGCTGTCCTCCTAGGCCCCGGCCCCTGCCCAGCCCTGCCCTGGGAGTTCTTTCCAACTTTGTGTGGGGAAAAAACCCTTATTCATGGGGTAAAGAAAGAAGTGAACACGTTCAGGACGTACAGTGTCTTCTTCCTGGTACTCCATCTCCAAGGCAGTCTAAGGACACTGCGGGGACACTGCCTCGGAGCCCGTGCTGCCTTGCCTCCCACCCTCTGCATGCCCGCGGGGGCCTGTGCCACCTCCCTGTGCACCCGTGTCGGCACCCAAGGCCTTCCCCTGCCCCCCACGCCGGGTTGTCATTCCCCTCATATCCCCCCACTCCAGCGCCTCTCGCCAGGGCAGCCTCAGGACTGGAGGAATTCAGGGACGACCCTGGCACTGCCCTCGTTCCCACAGGATGCTGTTCCCCGAAGCGCAGCGCTTGGAAAGCACCGGACGGCTGCTGTGCCTGGCGGACGTCGACCCGACCCTGCGGCCGCGCCAGCTCTCCATTGCGCACTTCCGCAGCCTCTGTGAGGTCTACAGGCGCATGTGCGACAGCGACCCGCAGCTCTTCGCCTACAGTTTCCGGGAAGAACTCAAGCAGAATAAACAGAAACGGCGGCGAGAGGGTGATGACAGTGAGAGCGGTGTCCCCTAGGGCGGGCCTGGCCACCTCGGTCACGGTGTCCCCTGAGAGCGGGCCTGGCCGCCAATAAAGACGCGACCAGACAGCACATGTTCTCCTTTTACTGTACAGCTTGGTAGAGAAAATAAATATCAAGTAAAGTACCGTACAAGCTTATATATATATATACTGCATAGATATGGCATGTCCAGTATAAACGGGGAGTGTGTGCACACGGACTCGGACACCACATCAGAATAACTTAAGTATGCTTTAAATAAAGCAGACACTAACAGCTTGGAGAGAATGCCCGGCAGAGTCTAAGAAAAAAAGACCCCTTTAAAGGTTTTAGTCACAACCTTCCCAACCTTAATTTTTTCCCCACATAAATTATTTATTGAAAATGCAATCTAATTTTAAGAAATCTAAATCACTGTGGTATCTGCTCAGAAGGATTGTGAACTAAGCAGCTGACAGATTCTGACCAGTTTCGTCTAGTTCTCTGACCCACAATAAATTAAAATAACTTAAGTCTTTACAGCTGTCCTGGGGGCGGAGGGACAGGCGCTGGCGCTGCCCCGGCCCTTCCCGGCCCCGCCCGGCCCGGCCGCCGTGCTAGGACTTGCCATGGCCCTCGGGCTGGTAGAAGCACTCCTCGCTGACCACTGACGTCAGGCTCTGCACACTGAACTCCCGCTCCAAGACAGCATTCAGGTCCAGGCTGGCGTTATCCGACTGGCAGTCCAAGGACTGGTGGCGCGTCTGCGCCTTGACCAGGCTGCTTCTGTCCCTCTTGGTGCTGTTGGCTTTGCGCTTGATGGGGCAGAAGTGGCCCCGAACCAGTTTGGACTGCTGCTCCCCTTCCCCGGCCTGGGCCTCGGGATCGTCGGAGATGCTCAGCCTCTGGAACTGAATCTCGATGTCTCTGGTGGGGCTGCCCCCTCCCGGGGGCGGCCGGCAGCCGTCGTCCTCCTCGTCGCTCAGGATGTCGCTCTCCTTGATGAGGCTGTCCGAGAAGCCGGCCGGCCCCTTCCCGGGCGAGCCGCCCTTGGAGTCCCGCCTGCCGTCAGCTGCCGGGCAGCCGCTGCTCTGCGTGGTGCCACTGCTCAGGCTGCCCTCGTCCGAGTCCAGCGAGTGGCCCTTGCCCGGCTCACCGGGCCACTCGCTGCTGCAGGAATTCTTGAGGCCGCGTAGAGACCTGGAGGAAGCTGCAAGGAGAGCACATTTCCAGAACCCAGTCCCTCGGGCTTCCGCTCTGTCGTCTGCCTGGACCCCGCTCCATCACTGGGTGTGTGAGGGCGTGAGATCTGGGTCCCCTCCCTCCTGATGCGCTCTGCTGGGCAACCCAGATGACACTTCCCCGCGTCTGCCTGAACTCCACTAGAAGAAAACTGGCCGTGGCTGGAATGTCCAGCCAACTTTGCGAGGTTCCATCATCCTGGGGGCTGGGCAGGGGGTGTGCCTGGCACCGAAGGGGGAAGGTGCTAGTGTACCACTTTGTTTCTGTACACAGCAGTATAACAACCACTGCTTACTGAAAGTAGAAAATAGTAAAAAGGAAAGTGGCGCGTTCTGTAAGAGTAAAAGCAGGAACAAAGGAAACGGTTATTCAAAGAGAAGGGGCTGCAAAGTGAGGCTGAGACTTTGCAAAAAGGACAGTTTGTAAGAACAGCATGATTCAAGATGCCGGCCTGCCAACCTGCTTTGGCAGGAACGGGTCACCGAGCCCTCTGGTGGGCACCTGGCACTGCTCTGTGCGCTGCGTCAGCAGCAGGGAAGGCCTGAAGTCCCTGGATCGGGGTACATGGCATGAAACGCCACAGGGAGTCGGAGCTGTCCCCCGGGGGTCGGAAGGGGGCGTCGGGCTGGGGTACCTGTTTGCTTGTCTAGAGGGACAGAGGCGTGTTTATCTCCTGCTCGCACTCGGCGTGCTCAGGAGGGCACAGCCTGTTTCTGAAGGACACGGTCACTGGGTTCTGGAAAGAGCACCCAGCCGGCGAGACACTCACCTAATTTGGCGGAGACAGGCACTCGGTTCTTGAGCGGCACCCGGCGGTCCTTGCTCGCCTTCTCCAGCGGCAGCTCGCACTTGATGTGGCGCCGGAAGTTCTCCCGCAGGATGGAGCGGATCACCTTCACCATGCTGGTTTTGCTCTCACTGTCGCTGCAGGAGAGCAGAGCGCAGTCAGCGATCGTGTCCTGGGGCTTCCGTGGGGTCCTACCTCCACAGCCCACCCCACTGTTGCCTGCACGCCTCACTTCCTCGCTCACAGAAGGACGTGGGATCTGGTTGGTCAGAAGTAGCCAGCAAGGAGACTTCGCAGTCCACAGAAAATGGAGTAAGAAGATATTTATTGTGATACAGAAAAAAAAAAACTTTTAAGTCATGCATAAGTTCATGACCCGTACGTATCATGGAAATGTCTGAATTCCAAAGCAGATTTTCACCAAAGCAAGACATCTTACTTCCATGTTCTGTGAACTCTGTAGATCTTTTAGCCTGGGGTCTCAGCTACCTGTGGAGGGCAAGGAGGGTAACCCCAACACCAGCCGAGTCCAGGGGGGCCCTCAGCAGTACCTGCAGCATAGCTGAAAGATGGTTTCCGGCCGCCCTTCAATTTCGGACTTGGTGTGGATCAGCTCCCAGATGGAGTTATTTTCTGTCCCTGTGTAAGAAACAAAGAGGCGTCCGTGGCCTTGGCAGGGATGCTGTGGTTGAGGAACTTGTAAAGTTTAAAACTCAAGGGTTTGACAAGCCACTCATCCCCAATCCTGCCAACCCAGCTGCCTCCGTGGGTCACTGCAGCTGGGTGAGACAGGGGTTACCCTGGTCCCTCCTGCAGCCTCACCCCGCTGCCCTGGTCCCTCCTGCAGCCTCACCCCGCTGCCCTGGTCCCTCCTGCAGCCCCACCCCGCTGCCCTGGTCCCTCCTGCAGCCCCACCCCGCTGCCCTGGTCCCTCCTGCAGCCTCACCCCGCTGCCCTGGTCCCTCCTGCAGCCTCACCCCGCTGCCCTGGTCCCTCCTGCAGCCTCACCCCGCTGCCCTGGTCCCTCCTGCAGCCCCACCCCGCTGCCCTGGTTCCCCTCCCAGCGGCTCCTACTCTTCATTCCCTCTTTGACATTTTGCCCATTCTTGCAGGAAGTAGGATGTGCTTGGGCCTCTTGGGGGGCCCCAAACAGATCTGGTAGAAATTAAACAGGGACCCAGCACATCACCTCCACCCACTGCCTGCCCGGGGCTGACACGTGACTGTTCTAGAAGAGTTTCTGAATGCTTCGCAGCCTTAGACAAGATTAGATTACTTGCAGCGCTGCCCAACTGTAAGAAATTGTTGAAAAAACACCTCTGACTTGGCAGTGAGAATGAGACGGCATTCAGTGACTCCCAGAGGCGATGGGGAGCCTCGTCCTGTGCCCAGCTGCATACCTGCAGTCCTCCACCTCTGCTCCTGCTGTCCCCGGTACCCCAGCCCCGGACCAGCCACTCAGTGTTACCTGCAGGGTTCCCCAGTCGGACCTGAAGCGCAGAAATGGGGATCAACCAGCGGAACTTGAAGGGGTCCAGGTCGGCAGAGCCGTGTGCAGGTCGGGGATTGGAGGGCTGCAGGGACACAAGCCACCAAGCAGTGTCAGAGCACGGCCGAGGAGCCACTGTGCACAGAAACCACCTCAGGAAGTCACCCAGAGACCTCACGGGGCGGACGTGGGTGGCCCGAGCCCCTCGGGGAGCAGAGTCCCGTCCCTGAGCGGTCACGCCTGCAGGCCTCCCCGTCCCCACGCCTCGTCTACCCCACAGTGACTGCCCGCAGCTAGGTTTTGCAGGTCCAGGTGGGCGAGGGTGGTGTTGCTTTCAGTCAAGGTTAAGGTCATCTTAGAACAAACCAAGGTTCACACAGGCCAGCAGAAGCCAGACACCAACTCCCACTGCATGCCTGTGATTCCCGCCAAAGCAGGTGCCACTAGGTGTGGCTCAGCCACACCCTGGGGCCCACTGGGCTCCGTTCCCCAGGGCGGGAGTGGTTGCTGGGCCCCAGCACGTGCCAGGAGCTCGGGGTCACGGAAAGGTAGTGTTCATTAATTCTTGTCTTACCAACTTCTTTTTCAGTTTGCAGTTTTCTTTGTAAACCAGTATGACAGCTCTCTTAAAAACTAAAGAAAGGAGAAAGAGAAAAAGTCTGTATTTCATACAAATGCTTGCAAGGTGAACCCAGGGTTGAATGTTTCATCTTCCCGTGTGAGAGCCGGGAGGATCCCCCCGGCCCCTCCCTCGTCCACGTGCACCCGCAGGAGCACCTGCTTAAGGAAGAGCTACCACGCAGTCATTCCTGACGTTTTCATTCCTCCTGGCTTTACAGAAAAGCCCAGCACCTCATGGAGGTCACCTGGGGCACAGTACCTGCTCTCAGCTCTCGATGAGAATTAAGCAATTTTCAAATTGTGGCCAACTATTAAGTTAGCAGGTTTCCAAATAGTCTCGGGAGGTCTGTTCCTGTAATACTTGGCCCAAGCTGAGCTGAAGGGAGGAGGAGATAATGAGCCTGCAGCGCTGTGGGGCTTTAAAGAGGCAGGCAGGCTGTGGCAGCCAAGCTTCCTGCGGCTCCTGGAGGTGAGGGGTTAGCAAAGCAGGACAAGAGGGCCGCAGCACGGCCAGTGCACAGCCTCGTGAACGGCTACTGACCGAATACCGTGAGCTCCAGCTCCTTCCTGACTTTGCCCAGCGACAGGAACGGGTTCAGCCAGGACACGGTGGAGTGCAGAAGCAGCTCTCCCATGGACAGCTCTGTCACCTGCAGGATAAACGGGTGAGAGGACCGTGGGCGCGAGGCCACACTGCCCTCTGCTGGACGCAAAGGCACTTGAGCACATCTGGGGGCCGACAATCCAACAGACCCAGGCATTGGCGGGGTCTCCAGCCAGCAAGTTCATGGGGGAAAAATGCATGATGCAAAACTTCAGCGTGGGCTTTAATCCTCACACACCAAAATAAACTTAGCTTCTGACTGTATTTTCCATGCACTTTTTGAGCTTATATGTGGTCATTGCTAAAATGAAAGTACAGTGTGTGACCAGTGACACAAAGAAGGCATTTTGCGCCAGCGCACACAAATGCAAGTGGGGTGCCCTGTGAGCCATGCACAGCAGTGCCAACGAGGGAGGCATGCCGGAGAGCGACGCTGCTGCCTGACAGCACCCGCAACCTCAGGTCCTCGTTCCAAGGGCCCTTACTGCCCGCTCACTGCAGGATCCAGTACATTGGCCTGCTGCTGAGCCCGCACACCTCAGGACTGTCACAGTGACAGTGACACGCCAGCTCTTTTTTGCAGATTTAAACCATGTGGCCAGGACGAAAAGCCTCTTTGAGAGGCAGAGTGACTGAGTGTGATCCTTCATGCACTGGTTCATTCCCCGACATGACTGCCGCAGCCAGGGCTGGGCCAGGAGCCTGGAGCTTCCGCAGGGTCTCCCACATGAGTGCAGGGGCCCAATCCCATGCATCACCTCACTGCTTTCTCAGGCATGGTACGGAGCTGGATCCAAAGTGGAGCAGCCAGTACCTGAGCTGGTGCCCATATGGGATGCCAGGATTGCAGGCAGCGGCCTAACCAGTTGTGCCACAATACCAGTTAGCCATTGCAAGGTGGGGGACGCAAGAAAATCAAACCCCGCTGGAGCTGTAAGCACCAGCACCTGCTGCTACAGCAGGGCCAGCCAGGGCAGTGCTTAGGGCAGCAGGTGCCACTTGTGACTGCTGGGGGGGTCCTGCCCTTGACATGCCAGACTGGGCTGCATTCCTGGTCCCACTTTGGTCCAGCCCACTCCTGGTCATTATGGGCAGCTAACACTGAACCAGCACACAGCAGCTCTTTCTCTGTGTGTGTGCGTGTATTTTAAAAAAAAGAGAAACAAAGGCCCAGCCCAGCTTCTCTCCCGAGGCTGCTAGCACCCTCCTCCTGGCTCCTCACTCCAGCCTCTGGGACTGAGGTTCTGGTGTCCCTGGAGGAACCGGGGAAAGGTAGCAGATACGCGCTCAGAGAGCCTTCTATCTCAACCTGCCAAAGACAAGATTTGGCTGTCTTCTCCATGCTGAGCAGGAAGGTCCCCGAGCCCCAGGACACCTGCACCCAAGGCCTGCAGAGGCCGACCTCCTTCTCTGGCCCGCTCTGCTCCGCCACCAGCTGGTCGAACACGGCGCCGTAGTCCTCATAGATCTTCTGCATCTCGTTGATGTGGCTGGCCACTTTCTCCATTGCCTTCAGGGCTTCTGCAAAACATGAAAGCCTCTGCTTTAAATCCCATCCAACAGCTGCAAACAGCTGGAGATTCAAGCCAGGACTGGAGACCCCCATCTCCCGAAAAGGGATGTGACTGGGGGGTGGAGGGGGTGTCACAGCACCCGATAGCAGTCGGTCATTATTACAGCAAAGAGGCAGGTCATATGCCACTTCAAATGCCCCGTGCCAAAGAAGAGGACTAACAACGGGCTCACTGACTCAGCGCTGAGAGCTCTCATGTCTCCACGGCGTCTCAGTGTGCTGCAGGGAGAGGAGCAAAGCCAGAATCCCACGCATGCCAGCCTCGGGTGTCTGGACCCTTGGTGGGATGCAGCTGGGCGCATGGCGAGAGGGCGCTGCCTCCTGGGTGGCCTGCTGCTCATTCTCTACAGCTCTGTGACAGCAGGTGGGCGAGACACCATGAGTTTATCAAAAGCAAAAGGCAGAGTTTCAGGTCACATCCAAGAACAGGTTTTTGTTTTGTTTCTTCATCTGCCATTTCAACCAGCAGGAGGAAGTTTTCTGTAGGAACCCTTTTCCTGATCTCTAATGCAACACAATGCTTGGATCCTGCTCTGTGGCGTGGCGCTGACGCCTGGGAGGCTGCCTTCCACAGCACAGCCTGGGGGAATCCACTGGAGAGCCTGCTGCCCACTTCCAACCCAGCTTCCTGCTAATGCATGCAGGAGGGCGGCAGTGGAGTGTGGCCCCGTGCTTGGGCCCCAGAGGTGGCGTCAGCCTGGCCCAACCTGGCCCAACCTGGCCACGGGGGCCACGGGGAGTGAAGCCCCAGAGGTGGCGCCAGCCTGGCCAGGACCACCCGGGGTCACGGGGAGTGATTATGCAGATGGATGGCTTGCCCTCTCAGAGTGAAACTCTGTGGAATAAATATTTACACACACAGAGTTCTTCACACAATACTGCTATACTAATCCTAGTTTGCATTACACTTGTTGACCTTATATATAGATGTATATAAAAGCGCTTGGGTAAACTGTATATATAACAACTGTATTGCTTATGCTATCAAAATATTTGTCTTGGGAAAGGAGCCAAGTTAATATACTCTCTCCCCATGACTCTGATTCAGCAATATTAAGCTTTATGAATGACACTGGACCTAATTACAATATGTGGAGGTCAGAGCACACCTGAGACAGTTATTTCCAGGGATGCCAATGCTTTTCCACATCAGCGTTAAAACCCAGTGCGTGCGGGGAGCTTGCTTTCTGAGCGCACCACAAGGGGGCGCCCCGTCCTACCTCTGCGTGATTTCTAAATCCTGCAGCCTACCCAGGAACCCGCAGGCTCTGAGCCTTTCCCAGGAAGATGGATCCAGCACTCAGAAGAAGGCTGGGGCTGTAGAGGGAAGCGGCAGGGAGCGGCCAGTAATCCTGCAGGAGGCGGGCAGGGGCGCCCCGATGCCGGGCCTCACCTGTGAGGTGGTAGTGCTCCTCGCTCTCGTGGTCCGTCAGGGACACGAGCTCTCTGAGCAGCAGCGGGTACTTGAGCACTCTCTGCACGGGCTTGATGAGGTAGGACTCCAGGGTGGACGAGTGCTGCTTGGTGGGATTCCGGGCATCCAAGAAAGCCTTGAAGGCCTTGTCGGTCTTTGCTGCAAGCAGGTGGAAAAGAGCGGCTTAGAGGAGAGCAGCGGGCCGAGCTCATTTCTGCTCGGTTGGTCTTCAGACGGAGAGCCTGAGCTTCCATAACGCAGGTCCGGAACCAGGCACGGGATCTGGTGCCTCCGCTGGCTGATCCCTGTGAGCCAGGGAGACTGGGTGTGGTGCCATAGGAGGGCTGCTGGCACCCAGAGCCCCCAGGCTCCCAGGCACACAGGTGACCAAGGGCGGGTTCCCGGCACTGTGCAAAGCCACCAAAGCGGGGTTCCCCAGACCTGAAGCACACTCCGTGACAGGCTCAGGTAGCAATCTGTGTTCCTTCTACTGGCCTGCTGCTCATGTTCCAAGTTCAATGGCGGCAGTGTCTTTCTCTGCTTCACAGTAAGTTGGGACTTTGACACTGTGCTCCCCATGCCCCGGGGACACCCACCTGCCCTAGGGTCTGCATCGGGCCTCTGCTTCCACTCCAGGCCGCAGCCCTTGCTAACAGTGCAGGCCTTGCAGGGTCACCGTGATGGCTCATAACACAGGCCCCTGCCACACACCAGACCCACAGCGGTGACCCAGCCGGGCTGCCGGCTCCTGGCTTCGGCCTGGCCCGGCACCGGCCGCACACATCTGTGCCGTGACATCTCTGTGTCTGACCTGTTTGAGGTGTGAGCCAGCAGGTGGGAGAACTCTTGTTTCTGTCTCCACCTTTCAAGTCAAGTCATTTTAGTGCATGGGAAGAGAGGTGTGGGGGGAGGGTCCTTAAAATCATGTCAAGCCTGCAGCCCGCAGCTTCCGCTCCACAACTCCAGGCTGCTCACATCAGAACCATAGATAGCTCCTTCCCGTCCAGCAGCAAGGACCACCTCTGTTCTGTGTGCGCTGGAATCCAAGGGGCATTCGGTGTGAGTGCGCACGGAACCCGTTAGCATGGGCAACCAGCTACTTAAGAATACTTCTAATGCGGCCAATCTGAGTGGAGGTTTACTCTCAGCTGAGGGCTTGCTTACCAGGAGAGGATCTCCAGCAGCCAGGAGGCAGTGCCCCTGGGGATGCGGCCGCCTAGGCAGCTGCTGAGGGCTGAGGAAGAATGCGGCCAGCCATTGCCACAGATTGGCATGGAGAGGGCGCTCGGAGGGAAAACGCCAGAGGATGGAGTGGACCTTGGGAACTCGATACACCCCAAGATTCTGTCAGTTAACACTTAGGGCTTTCCTTTTGAGATACTAGAAGGTTCCAGATTTACACTACACAGATCAGCTGCCTCAGTGGCCTTGAGTAAACTCCACCAAGGCCAGGGTCGTACGCCTCCACAGTGCTGCAAACAGAAGCCTCTGGAAAACGTGAGCTCTTCCCAGTTCTGCCAAAAGCACTTTCGGGAGCAGTGCCCTCACGTGGCCCTGTGCCAGCAGTTTGCAGAGGCGCCTTGAGCTTAAGGTTGGCAAGGGAAATAGGACGGTGTGTGTCCTTTCTGTGCCGACCCAGGGCCACCAGCCTCAGTGCTTACAGAAAGCAGTGCGACAAGGAAGGCATCCAGGCAGGTGTCATTTCACAGCAAAGCAACACCAATAAAGCTCCCTGCTGCCAGTACCCCAAACAGGCCAGTTCCATCACTTTCAAGGTCAAGAATGTAGCATAATTCACTGGAATTGCACTTAATGCTACATGTTAAATAATTAGTGGTTGGAAAATATGGCTGTAAGAGGGAATAAATGACCTACCTCGTTCTAGAACCTTCTGTACTTTAATATGGTTAGCACAGAATCCGCTGTACAGTTTGAAGTGGTCTGCATAATAGAGGAAGGAGCCTCCAAGGGAGAAGAGTAGCTTCTAGAAGGGGAAGGAAGAAAGTGAACTCAGACACGGCCTGGCATTTGTCAGATGCCACCGCATGTAGCGAGGACACCAATCAGATAAGCCAGGACAGCTCCACACCCATGATGGGTACAGATGAGACCAGGCAATCCCCCGACCTTCAGCTTCAGGGAAATGGCCTGGCAGCAGAACCCACCGACAGTATAAGTCCTGAGAGACACGGCTGCCCGGGCCAGGCTGCACAAGATGTGAGAGGTCAAGCAGTAAGGGCCACTTTGCTGCCTGCGACCGGTGATGCCGTCTGCGTCCCGACCCCGCCTTGCCACTGCCTTCAGCTTTCTCCCCGTCTCTGCATTCACACCCATGCTCTCTGAATAGAAGGCTTGGCCAGAGCAACCTGAGCCTGCGCCTTCTGCCCCAAGCTCACAGGCACACGCGGGGGGGGGGGGGGGGCGGGGGAGAGTGTGGGGGGAAGGGGAAGAGTCAGGTGCAGGGCAGACACTCCGCGTCAGCAGCCACAGTCCTGGCTAGCCCAGCGAGGTGGCGGGATGAGCTTGTGTGTGCGGCAGCCAGGCCAGCTGCATGAAAGCAGAGCTGCCCACCCTCCTGGGCACCTAACCCTGGGGCTGCAGCCTTCTCCAGGCCACTGGCAGAGGGCAACAGTGCAACTCAAGCAGCACCTGGGCCTGAACTCTGCATGGTTCCCACTCAGCAGGAAGCCCGACTCTCAGGCACTTACTCGGAACTGTGAGGGGGTTTCCAGGACGTTAAAGTCAGAGGAGGCCGAAATCCCATCCTCCAGGGTCTCCAGAAAGACCTTTTGAAACTCCAGCATTTCCGGCAAACTTCCGAAAAGTGACTCCATCTAGGTGGAAGCACAGGATGTGGAAGGGGGTGTGCGCCACGAAGACCTGAGGGCCACCTGACGGCAGGCCCCCACTGTGGCCCGGACGGCAGCCCCTCAGCGAAGGCCACGGAACTCCCACAGACCTGCCGCACAGCTCCTAATTCTGGAATAACCTTTAAATGGATGTCCAATTCTCAGAGTTCAAACTGGGTTAGAAGTGGGACTCAGTAGGAAAGAGCTAATTACTGTGGTTTAACTTTAAAATTTCAAACATGTTGAAAAGCCATGTGGGGCTGAAGCCCATGGCCCGGATGGGAAGCGCGGCCAGTCTGGTGCCCGAGGAAGCGCTGTGCCACGTGGCTCTGGGTCAGGCCAGGCACGGGACTCAGCAGCTTCTGACATCCTGGTTGTGCTCTGGGGAGTGGCAGGTGTACCCAGCCCAGAGGTGAGCCACAGGGCGGCTGGACACCAACCCCAGCAGTCAGTAGACAGAGCAAAGCCAATGCGCACCTACCTCGTCTTGGGTAAGGAATGTCTCACTTTGAAGTGGCTCCAGGTACAACTCAAAGAGGCAGCTCAGATCCTGAAAGACACGAGACGGCCATCTTTTCCACACCTAGATTTCCACAATGCCGGGGACGGTGCTTAGGAGTGGATGACGCTCATCTTTCCTGGACTGCCCAATCCTAGAAGTGGTTATCTTCCCTGGATTCTGCACATTCCTTTGTAGCTCGGTCACCTCTCCTGCTTACTCTGGTACCTTGCCCACAGCAACTGGCTCTTGGGAGCGCTCACTTCCCTGAGACAAAGCACAGGCTGGCCAGACATGACCGCGGCTCTACCAGATCTGCATCTCCCACAAGAGCTCCAGCATGGAGCCGGGAAGGACAGCACAGGATCTGGGCGTGCCCTTCAACTTGGAGGTTGCCAGAATTCCACAAGTGCAAGAAACAATTTCTAAGGGTTTGCAATCAGAACTTTTGAGACCAAAGCCACATGTGGGTCAGTGCTAAATTAGGCCATGGCAGAACAGACCGTGTGGCTGCCTGTGTGCAAACCCCGTCAGGTAAAAAAGGTTTTGAATTCAATCATTTGAAGCCAAGACCAGGATATAATGTAGTGACGGCAAGGTTTCTCTTCCATGCTTCATTCTATAAATAGTGAATCTGAAGGCTGCGAAGTCCCCTACACTGAGGTCCACACGGTGCCAAGCAGGAGTCAAGGCCCAGCCTGGAGCAGGTATCAGGTGCCATGGTTAAGATGCCACTGAGGACAACCACACCCCATACTAGGGTACCTGGATTTGCGTCCTGCAAGGCAGAGGGAAGGGCCCCAGTCACTGGGCCTTCACCTTCCACAGGAGACCCAGCTGTTACGGCCATTTGGAGGGTGAGCCAATGGACCTAAGATGTGTGTTTCACATTTCACATCTATTAGACTTGCAAACGACTCAGAGAGCTGTGTGAGGCCCAGTGTGTCCCCGGAACCTTATACCTCCTTTCTGAGAGCAAGGCCAGGTCTGTGCTGCCCCAGGCTCTCCCTCCCTTGACCTCCCAGGGCTGTGCCTAGCAGGGAGGAAGCCACTGGGTCACATCTCTGTGACACACAGGTAGAAACGCTCAAGAAGCAGGCAGAAATCCAGGTTCAACTACAAGTCCAATTCCATGTTACATGGTGACAACCAAAAGAAAAACACGAAGCAGGGACTGGAGATCCCGGGAGGCCCCAGGTGCCAGTGTTCTGGTCAGGAAGTGGCAGGGTAATGGCCCACAGACGGGGGTGCCAGTCGGTCCCTCTTATCACCTCCTCCCAGCATCCATCTCTACCTGTGCCACACTGCAGTGTCTCTCAGCTCAGTGACCTACAGCAGTACGAGTCACACAGGAGACTGTGTGCTGCCAGAGTGGTGTAGTGCTGGCATCCCGCCAGAGTGCCACTTAGTCTCAGCTGCTCCACTTCAGCTCCACTCCACTTCTCCAATGACCTTGGGAAGCAGTAGAAGATGGTCTGAGTGTTTGAGTCCCTGCACCCATGTGGGAGACATTGGTCTCTGTGGAGGTCAAGGGTCATGGACAAGGTCATTCTGCTCTGAGAGCCTGGCGGGCACATGGGAAAAGATACGGCGGTAAGTGCAGGCCAGCTGTGATAGCTCCAGCATTTCTGTCCCCAACAAGACCAAGACCGGGGGCTCCTCGTGGGGTGATGCTCAGCTCTGTTTCAGGCAGAAAGAAGCTAACAGCCACAGGGTGGGCTGAGGCTGCTCTAAGAGCCCAGCACAGCAGGGCCAAAGGTCTGTGAGGACAAAGGGACTGGGGCACCAGAGGGGACCATCAAGGTCACAGCGCACGACAGAGGCAAAGCCAATGCTGGGAGCTCAGCCTCCACTCCGCGCCTCGTCGCTGCGATGGCCGACAGGTGCAGCAAGCACAACATCACTCCGAAGCTTCAGCAACTTCTCCAGGCAAAGGAGCTCTGCCTTCCTGGGCTCCTGTGCGCTCCACACCACCTCCCTAACCACTCTCTGGGGACTGGTGAGATAGGCACATCTGAGTTCTTCAAGTGACTCAGCGGACCCCACCGTTCATGTGATGCCCAACACACACGCCTGCAGGGCAGCGCCAGTGGCAGGACCTGGGGTTGTGGGCACTTCTGTACCGACTGCTCCTCAGTTCCTGCTCACCTAGAATGCTCTCTCCCTGTGCACTAAGCCAGCACAGACTCACTTCCCACAGATTGTGAATGACTAACCAGAACATCTGTTTCCATAGCAAGAGCTACCTTGGTAACCAAAAGAGCCAAGAGTCTAGTGTTTTTTTAGATTTCTCGCAGTTCTTCCACCCATGCCACCACTCCCATCCCTTCCTTGCAGTAGGTCCCACGAGTGGCAGGTGTCCCGGGCAGAGGTGAGTCGAGGCTGCCATCAACCGACAGAAAGGATGCCCAGCACCGCCCTCACCTTCACATAGGACTTCTCCGTGTCCACCAGCTCCTGGATGACTTTGCGGAGGCGGTCTGCGTCTGACAGGTGGCGGGCCAGTGGCCGTGGGGGCAGGTCCTGACCCTCCCTGGCACCGTCCATGCCGTTGGTCTGGCTGTGGGCGAAGTTCCTGCACAGTGTAGCGATCTGCTCAGCGCTCTGAGAAAGAAAAGAGGTGGAGAGTGAGGCACACGTACCTGGATCAGCCGCCCAATGAGGAGAGCAGGCTCCCTAGAGTCCAGGCGGAGGGCAGAGGGGCTCATTCACCTGGGACCACCACGGCTGCCACTGCAGATCCCGGTAGGGAGGACCTGTGCTTGCACTAGCGTCCAGCACTGACACGAGACAGCCCTCGGTTCCCAGACAAGAGTTAAGGTACAGGGCTAACGCTCTGCCATCAGTGAGCCTGCTCTAAAACCAGGAGGTCATGGCTTTCTGAACAGCACACAAAGGACGTGCCCTGGTCCTCCAAGGACGGCCTGGTCCAACTTTCTGTGCCCCATGAAGGAGCAGCTCGGAAGACCTGCAATGGTGCAGTAGTATTAGGGGAGTGCAGCATGCAGACAGGCCAAGGTTCTGCTCTCCAGCCCCACTAGGTGGGCCATCTGGTGCCAGGTAGCAAAGTGATGAGTGACAGTCTTGGGCTGACACACTATTCTATCCATGGAGCAGAGACCAAGAGAGAGAAACACGAAAAGGCCTCTACTCACAGGGACCCGGGCCCGGAAGCAGGCACAGCCAGAGAGGAAGGTGAGCTGTAGCACCTACCAGGTGTGGGTCTGACCAGCCCTGGACAGGGGTGGAGGTGGGGGCTCTCCAGAAGAGGAAGCTGAGCCGACCTCAGCATGGCACAGCTGTGACTATCAAGCAGGTGAGCCACTCCAAGACTCATCCAGGCCATGGGGGCAGGTGGGAGCAGGGACAGCTGGGGGACTCTGCATCCTCGGTGGATCTTCCCAGGGAGGAGCCAGGCGCATGCTCCAGCCTCGGGCCTATCTCCTTCTGTCACGCCCTCAGCATCCTGGACTGTACTCGCAGTATCCTTGAACTCCTCCTCTCCATCCCTCCAACACTGGCAGCCTGGAAATTTGTCAAGGATAGGACCACATGGACCTGGCCACAGGTGCCCAGCTCAGTGGCTCACAGGACAGTCAGTGTTTTTTCCCATCATGTATTGAAACCTCTACTGAATAGCAGAGAAGCTGTGATGGCTGTCAAGCAGCTATGACACATGTCCATCCTCATGTGGGAACCTTCCGCTCATCAATTACAACTCTCCTGTCTTTAGCTCACATGCCTTCATGCCTGACCTCTCTGCATCTCCATCCAGAGCGAAAGGTGAAACGTGTTGGAAGCATCTCTTGGTGCTCAGTCTCCTTCCCCTGGTTAGCCATCTCAGCACGCACGCGCACACACACCACGATGACCAACCATGGTGGCCCGATTTGTGCTTTTGTCTCCATGCTGTCACTTGATAAAGTTTCTTCAAAAGGACGAACAGATGCCTCCTGCCCACCTGCCCCTGTTCGATGCCTTGGCCTCTCACCTCAGCGTTTGATGGAAACATGCCATCCACATTAAAACCCAACACTGCCCTGCTGTTTGGCATTTCAGTTCAGCTTGGAGGGCGCAACTGAAGCCAGCTCTGCTTGCAAAAAAAAAAAAAAATGTGGAAGAGATCCCTACTCGAAAGACAATGAGGCAGCATGGAAGACAACACGAGCTTGGATGGAACAAATGGAAAACCTAGCACAGGAAGCTAACAGAAGTATCCCTTGAGAATGGCTAACTCAGAAGGCTTCGGGGAAGAGGGGGCAAACTTGGTGGTAGTTGTAATGGTGTCCTGGGAGGGACCCGCTGCCCAGGACAAGCCAAAGGAGTGTGGGAAGACGAGGCAAGTCATGGTTAGCCAGGTGGAGGGGCAGGCAGAGGGCAGATGGAGGGGCAGACGGAGGGGCAGGTGGAGGGGCAGGTGGAGGGGCAGACGGAGGGGCAGGTGGAGGGCAGATGGAGGGGCAGACGGAAGGCAGGCGGAGGGCAGGCGGAGGGGCAGGTGGAGGGCAGGTGGAGGGGCCGGCGGAGGGCAGGCAGAGGACAGGTGGAGGGGCAGGCGGAGGGCAGATGGAGGGGCAGACAGAGGGGCAGGCAGAGGGCAGACGGAGGGGCAGGCGGAGGGCAGGCGGAGGGCAGGTGGAGGGCAGGCGGAGGGCAGGTGGAGGGGCAGACGGAGGGGCAGACGGAGGGGCAGGTGGAGGGCAGACGGAAGGGCAGACGGAGGGGCAGGCAGGGGGCAGGCGGAGGGGCAGGTGGAGGGGCAGGCGGAGGGCAGGCAGAGGGCAGGGGGAGGGCAGGTAGAGGGCAGGAGACAGTGTAGCCCCACTGTGTGTCTGCAGTGAGAGCTCCCTCACTGCTGAGCTCTTAGGAGTTGCTTCTCTTTGAACCTTAATCTCAGTGCAGAAGTCAGTCTACCAGGTACTAAGCCTCTCACTGGACACACAGCAGATAAAATAACTGACTTCCAAACATGCCGAAGTAACAGAAATACTAACAATTCACCTTGGATACACAGATACCTGTATCTAATTTTCTTTTACTTTGCACACAAAAGCATATTTCTGGCAATGTTTATCAGAAGATATTCATTTTGGGGTAAAATTTCAAAGACTAAGAAAACAGATGTAGATCTTAAGGCAACAATCATCGAACATGTCTCACCTCATGTTGGAACAACACTAGCCAGCAGTGACCTAAGAGCAAACACCTACGTGACTGCAGATCCGACTGACCTGGAATTCAGCAGGCCCCGCCATCCACAGGAACCAAACGTGTCCCAAGTGATGTCAACATGTGGGCTGTGGGAGAACTACTGGTCGACCTCTCAACACAGCTACATTCTGCTTGGGTTTCCCGGGAGTGGGTCTGCCCGGCTCACCCGGTCTCTGAGATCTGCACTGCTGAGTGAGCACGGGCAAGATGCATGGACTGAATTTCCGAGACAAGAGGAAACTGGACCTCCACTGGCAGTCTGGGGTTCCAGGTCTGGCCCCCTGTCCTGATGGCAGAAAGCCCACCACACGAACACGAGGACTCCATAGCTCACTGTGTTGGAACCCTCTGTCCAGGGAGCTCATAGGATGTGCGTCTGCATTCCGGAACATGCTTCCAGGCTACAGAATCTATATTAAACTCACATCCACTGCAGACAATAAGATCTGACAAAATGCAGCCTAAGTGAAATGGCGTATGGTGAGATCACAGCTTTGCCTGCCTGGGATGTCAGAAACTCCACCTAACAAGGCAGTGCTAAAATAACAAGATTTTAAAAATAAAGCCTCTTGCCATTTTCGAAAAACTCAGAATTCATTTTGAAAAATGCTTCTGGTAGGATGAATTTCCAAAAAGTGAATGGAAGCTAAGATTTGTCCACAGCAGGCCAACCTTGGAAGGTGTTGCCATGAAGCGCTTTCACAGCAGAACACACTCCGTGTGCTGCCTAGGGGGGTGCATGAGGTTCCCAGGGATGGAAAGCAGACGGAGCTCCCAACGGGAGAAGGATCCATGATCAGAGCGTGGCTGAAGATGGTATCTCAGAGTGCCCCTCACTGATGGTCCCCAGGACAGAACAGCGACAGGCAGCATTCCACAGCTCTGGGACGTCTCCTTAGCCACGGTGGCCCTCTGCCTTGGGACACCCCCACACAAGGAGGGCGAGCAGAGTGGAAAGCAAAGACAAGACTCATGGATCTTGAGTTCTAGTCCAGGCTCTGCCCATATCCCGGGCAAGCCTCGTTTCCGAGCATCAGTGTCCTCAATCATGAAATAAGCAGCCGCAGTGTCAAGCCCACCAAGTAATCCTCAAACTATCAGTTGGGTCAAGAACAAGTGGGAGGCTGCACCTGCTGACCACGTGCTGCGTGCCCAATACCTCTCAAGCATTCCTACCAGGCACACTGGCACCGTATGTTTCCCAGCACACAGCAGGGCTCTCAGGGCATGCGGCCTGTGTCCTCTGGCCCATGTCCCGCACAGCCCAGGTATGGAGCAGAGCATGGCTAAAACACGCCTGCCGCCCCTCTCAGCTGCCTCTGTCCACCACGTACGTGGCCAGGGCTCTCCTGGCACCAGTAGTCCTACACATGTGCTCATCTCTGTTGACACAAACACACAGGCAACTGACACATCCCAGGAGTGTGGCCTAAGACAGGCGATCCCAAGTTAAGACGGTGTGGGAGAGATCAGTAGCCTGACTGGCCAAAGATGCAGAACAGAAAACACTAGAACTCTAAGAGTGCACCCCCAAGTGGTGTCTGCCAACTGGAGCAAGCAATGCTGGAAGCGGGGCTCACCATAGGCCGGGGTTCCACACAAGATCACCAAAAACATATTTTCTCCCCATTTAGAGTAACTAAGAGCCTTTCCCCCTAAAACCAATGCTGTCTAGAAAAGCATCAACAGCGACCGTCGGGTTCTCCAGGTGATGCTAAGGCTGGTCCCTGCTGCAAAACGATGTCACTGTCTTCCTAGGCGGTGAGCAGGGTGTTAGATGTGGGGCTGGAATGTGCCAGTGAAGTCTTTACTTGGTCCTGGCAAAAAAAAAGCCCAAGGTGCCTGAGCTGTTCCCGTGCCCACCCCACACTCTTTAGGGTGGACAGGAGCAGGACCTTGCCTAGACCCAGGCTCTGCATTGCTCCACTGACTCCGCTGGCCCCGCTGTCTGACACTGCTCTCGCATCAGAAGGCCAGCACCAGGGCTCCTCTGGATTTAGAACATCCGTTCCCCTGATCAGTTTCAGCATTTCACTCGCTCTTACCTGGAGGCACGTCTGCTTTCCCATTTCCCTCTGAGTTCTGGCACAAGCAGCTCAGTATCTCATATTATCAGAACCATCTCGAGGTTGGGGCAGAGATGTGGCAGCCAGCAGAGGCTGCACAGGGCTGGCCACGAGTCTTTCACAGCATCAGCAGCTGGGTGGGCAGTGCGCCCAGCTTCCCTGGCTTGGTTAGGGGCCCCAGGAACTCCACATTGCTTTCTCGGAGGCACCTGTTGGTGCTACTTGGCCTCAAAAAACATGTTTAGCCTAAGAGAATAGGTTTAAAAGCGCTGCATCATTGGGGCAGAGTCAGTATAGAACCTCTGAGAACTAACCAACAGGAGCAGC